TTTTTTTTTTTACTTTTTGAAAAAAAATGGCAGGGGCAAAAATGTCCAAGGGGGGCGGTAAATATTAATAGGGGGGGCGGTGAATAGTAACCTCCTTATTTTAACTTAAATTGAACTCAATCACACCATCATCAATATTAGCATATAATTAATTAATACCAATCAATCATCTTTACATATCAAATCAACTTTAATTCATTAGCAAAGTGCACGTGCGATACACGTGTTAAATGATTTGGGATCTTTGATCATAAATCTCGGCCCACTCTGAAATGAATTCCTTTGCTTTAGCCAGCTGCCCCCAACCATGAGTTGTTACACCTATTCTGAGCTGTGAAAAAGTCAGCCTTAGGCAAGTATCTAGCTTTGAGACTTCTGCTGTGTAGACGGTTGGGACTGGTCACAAGTCTCTACAGTTGCTTTGAAATTAGAGCCTTGTTGAAATAGTGTATATCATGGAAGCCAAGACCTCCCAACTCCTTTGGCAAGGTGAGAAGTTGCCAAGATTTCTAGTGCAGACCTTTAATTAGAGTTGTTTCCATTTTTGTCCCACCAGAAGTTTGCAATGGAGGAGGATAGTTTTCTAAATATCTCTTGGGTAGTAGCATAAAGCAGGACATTGAGGAAATTGGAAGGTCTCCAAAAACTGCTTTCAAAAGGACCTCCTTACCTGCATCAGAAAGGAACATGTTCTTCCAATTTGTGGTTCTTTTTTTAACAGTTTTCTCAATAAAAAAGAAGGTTTCAACTTTTGATCTGCCTATTTGTAGTGGTAAGCCCAGATAATTAGAGGATGACTGAGGTTTGATACCTAACAAGGTATACAGATTGCAGTTTGGGTGGCTTGGGGTGTGTTTTAAGTGAAGAAGATGGATGATTTATTTAAGTTAATTTTTTGCCAATGACTAGTTGATAATTTTGGAGAATATTTAACAAGGTAGAGGTCTGGTCAACTTCAGCTTTAGCAAACAGGATTGTCATCAACAAAGAATAAGTGGTTAGGGTAGGGTAGGTTTTGCTGATTTTTATCCCTTTCAAATTTTCCTTTAAAATCAGTTTTTATAAGGTGATTTCTTTTTGTTTTTTCAAAAATCACAATGAAGATGTATGGGGAAAGAAGGTCCCCCAGCCTGATTCCTCTAGAAGGGGGTTAACAAAGCCACACACTTTACCATTGACATTGAAAGAAATGAAGCAGAAGAAATGCAGTTCATTATCCACCTCACAAAGGTGGAATTAGAACCTAATTTCAGCAATATCAGTCTTACAGGGTCTCATTCCACTCTATCAAAAGCTTTGACCATATCAAGCTTTATGGCCATATAACAGGTTTTTCCATTTCTAAGGTTTTTAAAGAAATAAAAAAACTTCATGAGCTATGATAACATTATCTAGAATTTTCTTATTTAGGACAAAGGCTGACTGGAATTCACTAATGCATATAGGAAGGCAAGGTTTTAATCTACTTGCAAGAATTTTGGATATAACTTTATAGACCACATTGTAAAGACTAGTAGGCCTGAATTGAGCAACAAAGAAAGGGTTGTTGCACTTTTGAATCAGGGTGATAAGAGAATGATTGAGGCTTTTTAGAATCCTACCTGAGTTAAAAAAGCTAAGCACACAAGAACAAAGACATTCATGAATTAAAGACCAAAAGGATTGGGAGAAAGTTGTTGTCATGCCTTCAGGTCCAAGATCATTGGTTGGGATGATACTGAAAATTGATTTCCTCAACTCTTACTAGCGCAACCAACTCATCATTCAGTTATGCAGGAGTAACCTCCCTTAAATCCTGAAGCAGCCTATCTCTAGTAGAAGAACCTTCTGAAAAGAAGAGGTGGTTGTAATAATTCTCATTGCAGTGAGCAATTTCATCCTTTGTTTCACAATATGTTTGGTCATCTATGATAAGTTTCTGATTCTACTTCATCCTTTGAACAATATGTGTGCATGAAAATACCTTGAGTTTTTTTACCACTAGGAAGATGCACGTGCTACGCACGTGATATTTTTTTTTTTTTTTTCAAATTGTNGGTTTATATGTAATAGTATAATATAATTTTCTTTCAATTTGTATTTTTTTTCAAATTATTTTTAGTATTATGTTCATATTTAATAGTTTAATATAATTTTATTTCAATTAGTTTAACAAAAAATGGTGTATTTCATTGAATAATGAAATATAGTATTTAATAC